TGGAATTAGGTTCCAGCCTCAGCCAGAAACCAGCCTGAACGTCAGTGGAACTAAAAGTGCGTGCTTGCTGGAATTATGCACTCTCCTGCCATAAAACTACAGCTGGCTTGCTGGAAATAATTAACTCAGTTACGGACTCGGTCTGTCCATATTATGTACCTGACAGCAGAGACACGCCTTGAAGTGGAACTTTTTAATTTTCTTCTTCGCTTTCTTTCTTGTTTTAGTTTTAATTTTTTTCTTGATTGTTCTTGGTTTTTTTTTTTTTGAGTGTGAACAAGGTTTCTAGTTTTTTGTTATTATTGTATTCTGCTCCTGTTTTTATATGTTCCTTATTCCGTCATCGGTTTACCAAAATTTGTATAATTTCCTTTGTCCTTCAACCTTGCTTCTAATCTCTTCCTCTTCTATTTTTTTCACTGTAACCTCTTTTAAATTTTCTCTGCTCAGGGTAGAATCATCATATTGACCCAAAGATATAATAGATATTGGGAAATAAGAAAATGTTCAAATGAGAAGAGGAAACAGGGGGAGGAGGAAAGAAAGAAGGGATACACATCAAAAAAAGAATAGAAGGGGAAAACTAAAAGTTTTTGTAAATAAAAATGGGTAGGGTTGAAGGGAGGGAGGAGGAATGGGACAAAATCAAGAAGCATGGCATGCTAGTGCAGGTACAGATTTCCTATGATGAATTATACACTGTATATCTCTAAAAATGTACTGATTGATAGCAATTTAAAAAGAAAAGTATCAGATATAGGACAGATTGAAAACCCAGTGTCAGGAAGCTGACAAAGGAGCAAGCAACAGGTGACAGAAAAATCACAGTAAAGGGAGAGAATGCTTGCACATTCTGTGGGTGCTGCAATGCTGGTTACTGAACAATATTCGAGGCAGGGAATTACCTGGAGAACCTTGATTCTCTCCCTCATGTGGCTTCAGGCTTTCCTAGCTTCATCATTCTTTCCTCTTCAAAGACCAGATCTGATCCATGATATAGAGGAATGTACAGAAAATGGACCCGTATCTGTGAGAAATATGTTCCAAGACCCTTCTGAATCTATGAATAGTTCTGAGTTCTCTATTTTTTCCCCATGTTATGATTTGTGTCTGTATGTTTCCCCAAAGCCTCATGCAGTCTTGGGGGCAGGTTTCTAGAGTTTGTGATTGATTCATGGTCCAATGCTTGGATTATGGGTGTGAGTGCTACACCCACCCTACGTTGGGTAGCCTACATATAATATAAGGGACAGAAAGAGTCTTCTCCCTGCATTCCTCCTTTTTTGCTCCCGTTGCTTTTGCCATCTTCCATACCATAAACTGTTGGTCTTCTGCCACACCATCCTACCTTGGAGCTGGCAGATTATGGACTGAAACCTCCACAAACTTTGAGCTAAATAAAACTTTCCTTCTCTGATGTTGAACGTTTAGTATTTTGTCTCGGCAATGAGAGAAAAATAACCAACATATCCCATATGCTCACAGGATTGTCACATAACACCAGAGTTCATTTTTCTTTCCATCTTTTGTGCCTGGCCCACATCTGCATGCCTACTCTTATACTTTGGTGTTATTATTCATTAAAACAAGGACTATTTGAATTCAAGAACTACAATATCAATACCAAGGTTGTCAATCTGATAGCAGAAACAACTAGTAAATGACTTATAAGAAAGTAGTGCATACAGCATGGATATGTTAGACAAAGAGATGATTCACAACTTGGGTGAGATGGAGTAGAACAGTGTGAGATTCCTTCATACTATTCATTATGGCACAGAATTTAAAACATTATTTCTGGAATTTTCCATTTAATTTTTTGCCAAGGATAAGGAATACTATTAAACATTGTACTACAGTGACATGTGTATTGCACTGAGCATGAAGAGCCCTTTCTGTTGGCATGTGAGCAAAGTCAGTATTGCGCCAGCCTCCAAGCATCGGAAAACAGTGCACATGGGGCCTTGCACATGCTCAGGAAGGAGTAGCAGTGCCAGGTGATGACACCACCACCTGGAACACATCAGCCCTGACTCATTTAAGCTTTCTCATGGCCTTCAGTGTACTGGCAAGTTGATTAGGCTGGCTGTGAGTTTTAATACCTTTGTATTTATTAACACAAGGTAAGGGAAATATACTCAGATGTCTTTTTCAGAGCAGGCTAAAAGCTACTGGTCAGTGGAATAGTTTCTCCTTGTGCTGGTGGCCAGCAAACTTCAACTGGCACTTTGTGATGGATAGGTGGGTGTGGGGTTGCAGTTTGGGCACTTGGTCTTTTAATAGTTTGCTCCCACTGATCTACTTGAAATAGAGTCGCTCTGTCCTGACTTTCAGCCTGCTCACTTCCTAGTGTGACTCTCACTTTCTAAGGTTTAGCTTCCTCATCTTTAAAATAAAGCCAGTCATACCCCCCCCCAAAAAAAACAGACTTGGGGACTGGGGATTTAGCTCAGTGACATAAGCACCTGCCCGTCAAGTGCAAGTGCATGAGTTCAATCCCCAGTACCAAAAAGTTAACTAATTAAAATAAAATAAAATGAAGACAGTCTCTCAAAATTATTTTGGATTTTCAGTGAAACACTATGATTGCTCTGCATGACAAGTGTTTGACCAAATGCTAGTTTCCTCTCCTCCTAATCCCATGCCTTGCTCAAATTCTGTCTTCTTTCTTGTTCTTTTGCACCTAAACTCCCCGAATGAGCAGAACCACCATTACCACTTTTTTCCCAGCTTCCTCTACCTAATGTGCCCAGGAGGTCTGCCCCACCCCGCCTCAGAGAGGATCCTCTTCTGGATCTCACACGACTCAGACAAAGTCATCTGTTCCTGCTCCACAGCTTTCTCATTTCTCAAACTTTCTTCTTGCTCAGCCTGTGATTACCCGCACATCTTTGAAACCCACTCCTTCTCTGACTTCTAAGGCCTCGTGGTTTTATCTATTTCCACCTGCTCGCCCTTCTGAATATGCCGACAGTTATTCAACTTGGTGTGGGTGCCTACCGAACCACAGTGCTGTGTTTAGTTACTGCCCTCTGTGTTCCCTGGGGGACCCGATCACCCTGGAGACTTTCCACTGTTCCTCTACCTCCCAAATGTCCATTTGACATTCGTTTTATAGTTTGCAAAGAATTTTCTTGACAGTTATCTCATTTGACTGTTTAGATGTCTTCTCAGATGGACTGAATTGACATCATAACTTCAATTGTACAAATAAACAAAAAAGTTGACTTTTCTTTAAGAAGTCAACTTGCACTACATCCCTACATTTTAGTTACCTACAAGATACTCTTACTTTGATGATTCTTCCTCAATTTCAAACCCCATCTCAACTCATCTTGCTTTTCAAACAGATCCCTGACCACATTCTTCTTGCTTTTCAGCTTACATCTCTAATCAACTGGTAGAGTTTCCACCATTGTTTTTAGATGATGTGTCTTGAATTTTGTCCTTAATCTACGTGTACAATGTGACCATAGTTGGACACTGTCAGTTGATAGCCAGAGAGTATAAGCAATAGATTATTAGATTTAACCATCGTTAGATTTAATGGCATAAAATGCATTTTCATTTCACTGCAAGCCAATAACTACCATGCCAAACTCAAGTTCCTCAACCAAAAAATGTAAGGATTGACTCAGTCGTGGCTATCTATATTGCCACATAAGACAGTCATCACCAACCAACTTTCATATGTGAGAGCCACACCATGCAGTGGTGGAAGGCAGGAGGAGCACTGAAATCTGGGTCCCATTCTGGGTCCCATTTCCTAATGGAGTGACCTTAAACAGACACAACTCCTAGCTCTTTAAGGAAGTTTATCTATAGAATGGGGATAGTGAAGCCTCTGACTCGTATCTCAAGAAGGTTGTGAGAGGAGTAAATGCAGTCATACATGTCAGAGCGCTTTGAAGACTGTGGAGATGGCTTTATTGTAGATATTTAACTGCTCCTCCATACCAGGCACGAAAGACCTGGCTTATGTGTCTTTCACATCACTCTCTGGTCTCTGCCCTGCCCCTCTTCCCCAACCTGCACAGTACCCAACTCTTGTCAGGTAAAATGTTTCAACAGCTGCATCACCTCCCACATATCACCTCACCAAAATGATGCTTCCTACAGGCCTCTCCTTTTTGTTTTCAATACAGCTTCAGATTAGTTCCTCATGTGCTTTGGTAGTTGTGTGTTATGCAGCTGCATCACAGCAATCTCTCTACATTATCAGTACTGCAACAGGAAGGAACAGTCTTCGGATTTCACATACCCTGTTTGCCAAGCATACATCTGCGGGAAATTAGTAAACTCACCATCAATAAAGCATAAGTGTTACCATAACATGCATTAAACCACATGTGGTAGACACAAACGATATGATTTGGTGTATTTGCAGCCCCATTAGGCTTCTCTTTCTTCTGGCTTATGTCTAACCACCCGGTAGCTGCAGCTGTGAATTCTCCACAGTAATAGGCTTCTGCTTTACTAATGCAGCCTGCCATTCACAATGATTCTTGCAGTGATGCCTTTCATTTGACCTCAAAACTTAAGAGCATAACTGGAATTTTAGCCCCCAGAGCTACTGAATATTGTAGGATTGCAAATAGGACTTTTTTTTTATAGTTCATAGAAGTGGTCAGAGGAGAGAGCTGGAAAATGAAGAGCCATCTGCCACTTACTAGCTGTAGGGTGTGGGGCAAGTTGCGTGTCTTCTGAGCCTCACTTCTCTCTCTATAAGTGGCACAATGAATGTGACATCCACATGGGGTGAGAGCTCAATAATCTTAACTATTCCTGTTGGAATTAAAATTTGGGGCTCAGGAAAAGTACTAGAGAGGGTGTTTCTCAGAACATTATAGAAAACGAAAAGCAATTGCTGAGAAATGATTAGGACTTTGAAAGTCAAAAGGCATGGCATTGGTTGCTCTCAGTTCTCCAGAAATATTAGGAAAGAAAACCAAGGAAGATCACAACTTCAAGATTTGAATCCATAGTTTTTCACTTACTACCTCAGTGATTTTGGGCAGGTGGTTTTTCTCTCTCGCTTGCTTTTTATGCTTCAGCTCCTTTTCAGTGAAAAGCTAATAACAGCAGTCCATATTCCACAGAGTTCTTGGAATTCATCAACTATGAACGATACTTGGGCTAGAGGAGAGACCATAGAGAGCACCACATTAAATGTCAACTGTTGTTATTGCAAATGCCCCCAGAATTACTCCATTGAAGAGAGAATACAACTCTGGAGTAGAAGATTCCACAACATGTATGTCTTTTAAAACCCCAGATAGTCCAGAAATATGAACTAATGTGGCAATCAAAACAGGGAAGTTTCATTGAGAGTCTGTTATTACTAACCCAAAGCTTTGTCGTAATAGGCCCAAATCATCACATCAGAAATGCAAATCTTTGTAGACCTTCCTGGTCTATTTAGAAATGGCCTTGCACTTTCAATTTTCCCCCAAAGGGTTAAAATGAATTAAATTCTTGTAAATTGAAGCAAAAACAGAGATTTTAAAAAACAACTGAGATGGCCGTATCCTTAGAATGCGGAGCTGAGTTGGCCTCAGTAGGTGGGAAGAAGGGAGTGAAGGACGCGGAGTCCTATTTCCGTGGACTCAGCGTCTTGGAGAGTTCTGCTGCTCCGTTCTTCCTCCACGTTGTCACCCACAAAGTGCTTTAAAGTACAAGCTACTTAACGGCCCACCAGGCTAACAGTGACCTTTGCACTCACCTTTTGGATCCCAAGCAAAACACTTTGGCTCATCTTGGAGTTTATTCAAAAGAAATCTGGGGCTTTGCTTATGGGATTACATAGCTCTCTGGCATAGCTGAATCTCCTAGCAGTCTCTAAAGCCATTCAGTTATCCATAGAGGGAAGATCACAGCAAACCCTCTAAGAGGAACGAGATAGTGTTCATGTGCAATCGCCACAAAGACCAGGGTTTCTGCAGGATACCAAATGCACTGGGAATTTTCCTCTTTTGTAATTGCCTAATCTAATTGGTTCTTTTATAAGTCAAATTTTTATTCCCACTTTCCCATGTCTCCCCAGACTGCTCAAGAATTCAGTGAGATTTGAGGGGCGGGTGTTGGAGAGGTTGGTAGACACTGCTCACTATTTGTCTGCCTGGCCTTCTTTCTGAGGAATTCTACGTTCCAGAATGTTCAGGAAAAGTTCAAAACATCCCCCAGATAACTTCTGCTTTTCATTATCTTTGTTTCCTGTTTTAGTTCTAGAAACCAGACATGCAACATGTGTCATATGCTGTTTTCTAGGTAGAACATTTTCTTGAAATCATAGTAGTTGGACTGGTAGTTTAACAATAGCTGTTTTTCTTATATCTTTTGCTGATACATTTTCTCCTCCGTTTCCTTTGCTGGTCAGTTTGCACATTCTACCTGAGTTCCTTTCTTGAGAATTTTCCTGTGTAAGAAGATACCTATAGTTTAAGTACCTTTGTAGAAAACATTTGTTTTTTAAATTGAAGTTTTTCATGATTTTATTCTTTCATTTTATTTTGAGGGGTGAATACTTCCAAGTGATCCCCAAGGATGTTACAAGATTTGAGGTTGTCTGGCTAGATGCATCTGACTGGGAAAACTTCTGGCACTTAAGACACCTAGAGCATGGCATTGTCTCTGAAAGCCTTCATCCAGCCTCTGTCTTTATTCAACCCCCGTGTTGTTTTCTAGAATATTTTCCCCAACCTAGCTCTTCTTTCACGTTCAGCCACTACAGTAAACAAACAGAAATCCATCCAGAGAAAATGTTGATTGCATTTTCTGCATTCATTGAAGCCACAATTTCATTCTTTTGAAAAAAAATACTTTGAGTAACTTCTGCATTCTCTCTGCCTCAACTCTCCTTGGTTACTATAATATATATCCTTCTGATGCTACATATTTAATTTTAATAGAAATTCACGTTTTCTGTCATTTTCCAAAGTGTTTCATCAGTATATTAAAACAGATTGGAGGTATCTGTTAGTAATCCAATGTCTGATCTAAATACACTCAGAATTATTCTGCAATTGAGTCTCTGATCCCCAAGACACAAAAGAAAGATCAGAAGATCAGCAAGAGCTGGTTCAGAAGCTGTCATCTTTCAGATATGGTTTAATTTAAATGCCCCTCATTGTAACTGAAGGCTCTGAGTACACAGTGGTAGCTCTGGGAGTTGCTGTGAACACTGAAATGTAGTCCTTCAGAGTGGTTGCAGGTGTCCGTGGAGGTGTCCTGCTCAGGCTCAAGTAGCTACTTGCTCTGACACATGAGTTAACAACATACTGTGACTCAAAATATTTCCCTTCATTTCAAGCATGCTTATTCCATTTTTCTTGCTACTTTCTGAAGTAATTTTGGGACTACACTTTTTTTAGTATCTTCAGTTACATTCTCATGGCTGCCTCAATATCCGGAATCAATTCAAAATGTTTGCAGGATTATTTTGACTTTGAGGAACAGTCAGAAGTCATGTGATGGAAGAGCTGGTAAATAAGGTGGACAAGGACACGGGACAATGTTTGGTGAGCCTGCATTTCTTTTGGCCGGCAAGCAGCGGCGGCAAGACTCACTGTATGTTTGTCACACCTATAAAGACACTCATGAAAGAGAACTTCCCTAACTGCTTCAGAAAGTGGCGAGAATGATGGCACGCACGTGTCTGGAGGTGGGGGAGTATTTGCAAGGGGATTATGACAGTGTGTTGCTCCTGAAACGAATTCTTGTAAGTTAAATATTCACTTTTTATTTCAATCGCATCTCATACTTTGAGCTCCAGTTCATCACATAGCTGTCTTTGACTCAATCTCAGGTTTCTTTCTAATACTACCCCTTCCAGAGGAAGCCTTCTACAACCCTCCAGATCATGGTAGCCCCCTGGGTTTCCACGTACCCTGCCCGTCACCCCTAGAGACAGCAGTTCCTTCCCTTCTACCTACAACACTGAGTTCACCCACTGCAGTCGGGAACGTTTCTCTGGTCTGCTTCTGAAGCCCAGAGCTTAGTGTGCATAAGCTTTTACTCAGATAAATGACCACTCAATGAGCTAATAAAGCCGTTATATAACCCACTCCTTTTATGCCTCTCCATAAATATTTCCTAGGACCTTTCTCAATGGTCTTTTACAATGAAATACTGTTAGTAGTTTTTCCATAAGTTTTCTGTCCCTATAATGCAAATCTGAAGTCTAGGAAGAGAAATACAGGGATGAGGACATGAGAGCAAGAGGCAGCCACAAAATGTACCCGAACGGTGCTCTGTGCCTGCAAGAGGCAGCAGCACTATTTACGTCTCTGAGGCTAGCGAATTGTCTGATTGTGTGCTAACACATCCCAAGTAGGAATTTGTACCTATTACAGCTAACAAGGGGAGCCATCTTCAGATTTCTCAGAGAATATACCAGAGAGCAGAGTTATTAAGGTGAGACTTGAAATAAAAAGAAATCAATTTATTTTAACCAACTATCACAATCTGTGATAGTTTCAAGGACTCTAGATTTTTTTTTTCTATACTAGAGGCTCAACTGAGATAAAAATGCTGTCTCTACAGGCTAGCGGGAGGAGACTCCTATGGGAAATGCTATTTTTTCAAGCTAAAAATAATCTTGTTTTAATAGCATGCAGCAGAGAAAGTGAGAGTGGCCAGGGTTCTTTTAATCTCCTGGCTTATTTAACGTTTACATTTCCAGAGTGAAGAGGTCCCCTCCTCTCCTCTCCTCCTCCTCCTCTATTCCTTCCCTTTCTCCTCTTCATTCCTTTCTGTCCTTCCTTCCTCGTCTTTGTAGAGTCTGTCCCCTACTTTTTCTTTTTTCCTCTTCTTTTTTTTTTTTTTTTTTTTTTGGTACCAGGGATCAATCTCAACCTCACACTTGCCAAGCAGATGCTTGTGCCATTGAGCTAAGTCTCCCACCCTTCCCCTGGTTCTTTAAAGTCTCTCTCTCCTGCAAGGACGTTGGACTTTCTACTAAAGATGAAAAAGTTCTGTGTCTGGCCTCGCTTTTCCTAAGGTCACGTCCGACTTTGGAATTCTTTATTTTCAGTTTATTAGTCAGACCCTCATCAGGGATTCTTCCATTAATAACTGGATTTCACCTTCAAGGGAGCCAGGCTCTACTGCTACCAAGGTATCTGCCCAGGAGAGGAGGTTTTCATCTGGAAAAGGGCCAACTAGAAAGGCAAAAACAATTCTGCTTAATTTATTTTATATTTATATTACATGGGCTGGGGACTTAGCTCAGTGGTGTAATCGCCTGCCTGGCCTGTGTGAGGTCATGAGTTCGATCCCCGGTACCAAAAATAAATAAATAAATATTTATATTACACGAGTATGAGTGTTTGTGGTTAAGAAAACAAGGTAATAGAAATGGAAATAAATTTAAATTATAAACTTTACCACCAACCAAATTTATCTAAACTTTTTTGCATATGCATAATCTTTGTTCAAATCCATAAAAATATTTTTAAACCAGAATGGGTACATATTATGATGTTGTTTGAATCTAGTTTGTCACTGTGTCACAAGTCACTTTCTTTTACAAGAAATAAATGCCAATGTCATTATTTAATTAGCTGAAGATTGTCCAATTATGTAGTCCTCACAAAATTTGTTTAATCAACTTCTTGTAATCACTATTATTCAAATTGTAGGGAAGAGATTATATTATATGGAGCCCTGTGCTCCATCAGATTTGACCAGTACTGGCTTCAGCTTGGGAAAGGTCTTATGTTGTCCGGGCTTCATATTTACCATTTAAAGTAAGAATTATATCTTTCAGAGCTTGAGGCTTCCACAGAGATCAAATGAACATGTGTGAGACATATTTCTAAGTAGCAAAGTACTAAGCAAATGTTTCTGTTCATCAAAGATAACAAATAGATGCTCTCCCCATGGAATGAAAACAAGAAAAAAATTGTAATTAATGCACTACTGATCAAGTTAGTTTGAATGAAAGTAAGAACATTCCTGTGTAGGATAAGAATACAAAGCAACTGCTTTAACTTGGTTTAGAAATTTTTTTGTGTGTTCTCAATTCTTGAAGGAAGAAGCAAGGATGCAGCCCTTGCATAAGTTTTATCCAGCGTTCCATATGAGGACCATGGAAAGTAAGTATCATTTCTGTGATGCTCCTAGAAAGCCAGGACAAGGCACCTCCTGTCTCAAAACCAAATCCTGTCTGTCTTTGCTGTGCCCATGTTGTGTTTGTGATTGGTCAGCTATTAAATACCTGCTCAATGCTTGATCTTAAAAAAAATTTCAAAAGAAAAGAAGAAGATTGAGCTGCCTTGGCAGATACTAGGCTTAATTTTGACACATTTAGAACATTCTAGACCTTTCAGTTCTCTCACTAACTTTCACAGCAATAAAAACAAATCCACTTCCTTAAAACATTAGCAAACTGTAACCCTGAAATAGATTGTCTTCTAAGGGTTTATGTGGTTGAGGAAGGCGACAGAAATTTCTAAGTGTCATATGAATTCCACAAATTAACCCTATAATTTGCACGACTTCTGTAATATTGAAAGGGAAGTCTGTGGGGGTAAAATAAAACCAGGGTATGAAAACTAAGAAAGATGTTATATGTTCAAAAATAGAAGAATGCTTGGGTATGGTAAATCTCAAAGCAATTTTATGCAGCAACTTAAAATTATGATTATGAAGTATTCATAGCAACATGGATAAAAACATAAGCTGTGATGGAAGAAATGGATATAAACTTCTCTGTACTGTATGGATACAACTATGAAAATCAAACTAAAATTATATGCATGCAGACACACACACAGATGTGCACACACACGTGCGCACACACACACATACACGCACACATACACGCACATGCACAGAAAGAAAATACCTCCAAAAAAGCCAGTAAGACCTGTCTCAGTTGTGGTTTTTACTTGCTTCTACTTTTTTGAGCCATCTCAATATTTTGCAAGTACCACATATGTGGTAGAAAAATATTTATAGAACAATATAAGCTTTCTTTCCACAGATTATTCTTCTGACTGTGAAGCAAAAAGGCATAATTCTCAACAATTCTTGAAAGTTAAAGTGCCCACCTGTAGGTTCCTGCCCTTCAGATGCTGTGGCTTCTGTCCCTTCTAGCTCTCTTGTCTTTCTCCTTCAAATAATTCAGCTTGCTCATTTAAAAGCAACGTAAATCAACAAATTATATTGTCTGAACAGTGTTAGCCAATAGCAAGAAAAGAAGGAACTTTGATCAGCACTGGTAACCTTTTTTTTTTTGCTGTTGCTGTGGGGGTTGGTGCTGGCTTCCTTGTTAAGAAGGGTGGAGGACTTTCAGTTAGGGACAATCTCTAAAGGAAAAGGCTCTGAGATGAGCTGCCCTGCCCTTGCATGCCTGGTTTTTGCTGTTGTCATTTTGGCTTTTTAGCAGCATCTTTCACGTGAGATGGATGCGACATGATGGGCTAAATCAAGGGGTTTTAAGTGGCTTTTAGTTCTAAATGATTTCTGATTCCACCATGAGGGTAACAACGGCAGCAGCACTGTCCGTGCCCAGTTTTGGGGAGATGTTTAGAGGGCTCCCTGCTCCTCAGTGCTTTCTCACCTGCACCAGAGAGAAGCTTTACTCATTGTGCTGAGACCTCTCCACAAAGTCGTCCGTGTCCCGCGTGAAATGTCCCTTCTCATCTCCATCTTCCTCACCCTCTTGTCTGCACAGCTCACCACGGACGCTTTCTTGAAACTCCATCTGTTCTTTGTTCTTTCTCTGCTCCTCAGTGCACTAGCCCTTTTCTGGAACCTCTTTTTCTACCAGTTTTCCAAATGTGAACATTGCCCAGAGGCCTGCATTGTGACCTCTTCCCTTCCCCTTCTCTTGTTTTTGAATGCAACCTTAGCCAAATTTAACATGACCTAAACGGAGCTTTCAGCTTCCTGTCCCAAGCCTGTTTTCCCCATCTTCTGCATCTAAGCAAATGGCTCAGTGAGTTAACTCATTTATAAGCCTAGAAGATATCCTTAACTCTTCTCTCTCTCAAAGCTCAAATCCAAGCCAATACATATGATTTGTTCTTTGTTATTGTTGTTGTTCTACCTGCAAAGTGTGTGGCAAACATCTGTTTCTCCCATCCTCCCTTCTTCAAACCCCAATTATTCACTGGATAGAAACCTGCAGTAACAGGCTGGCAGTGCGGCTCAGTGGTAGAGCACTTGTCTGATACGGAGAAGGCTCTGAATTCAGTACCCAGAACCAGGAGGGGGAAAGTCTCCTAACTGGAAAAATTAAGTAAAATTATTTTTGTTCATAGATAATACAATCTGGTAAATAAAAATCCTGAAGATTTTACACACACACACACACACACACACACACACACACACACACCCCTACCTTGTTAGAACTAGTAAGTTTAAAATCTTGGAGGATGCAAAATTAACACACAAAATTCAGTTACATTTCTATACATTAAAAGTGATCAAAAGGAAATTTAAAATACCATTTCATTTACAAACCATCAAAAAGAAGAAAATAGAAGCTAATGTAATCAAGGCAAAAGGCTTGTACATTAAAAAACTACAAACATTGCTGAAAAAATTAATGAAAGACAAATAAATGGAAAGACATTAATCAATTTAAATATAGCTAAGATCCCAGTACTATACAAAATTGATATACAGAGTTGATTGAGTCTTTCTCAAAATCCCAGTAGTGTTTTGATAAGGACTCAGTTTTCTCATACAGTGCCAAGTGACCAGGGAACCAAGACCATCTAATGAGAAAAAATAGTCTTTTCAATCAAGACTCTAAAAACTATTTTTAAAATCTTGGAAGAAAATATAAGGAGATTTATGGCCGGATTACAATGATTCTGGATTAAGACACCAAAGGCACACAAAAGAAGTGGACAAACCAAATATGATCTCGTTTAAAACTGTGCATTAAGCTGGGTGTGTGGTGTACTCCTGTAATTCCAGCACTTGGAGGCTGAAACAGGAGGATCACTGTGAGTTCAAAAAAAACCTCCTGTGCATCAAAAGACACTAACAACAAAGTAAAGTAGCATCCCACAGAATGGGTGAAAATTTTTGCAATAATATCCAGACTATAGACAGAACCTGTGCAATTCAAAAACAAAATAAATCCAATTTAAAAACAGGCAAAGGATTTGAGTAAACAAACAAATGGCCAATAAGACCATGAAAGTTTGCCCAATACCACTAATAACGAGAGACATAAATCAAAATCACCACGAGATACCACTTTACACGATTAAGATAACTTTTAAAAATAAGCAAATTATCAAAATAACAGCAAAGTTGTTTAGAAATTGAAACCCCTTTGCATTGCTGGTAGGAATGTAAAATGGCGTCATTGTCATTGAAAACAATATGATGATTTCTCTAAAAAATGTAAAATAGACTTACTGTATTACTATCACAGTTTTAACTGCCTTGGGATAGGGAAGGGCATGGGAAAGGGCCAGCGAGGACCACTCCAGGAAAGCGGCCCCTCAGGCTGAAGTCAAGGCTGCTTCTGCCTTTCCAGAACAGGCTGCCCTTCCGTGTCTCGCCGTTCTGGGAGCTCCCTTCCTAACCTTCCCCACGCTCCAATCAAGACTGAACTACCTGTCTATGTCAAAGAGAAAAGCACTACTTCTGAGCCGAGAGGACTCCAGGATGGTGTGCAACAGAGTCCCGTAGGGTTAGATGGAAATTATTTAATGCTTCCTTGAAAATAAACTAGGAAGGCTGTGTTTGTTCTGCCCATTTACAGCTGATTTCCTACAACTAGAACAGACATTCAGCATCATTTAGTGCAACCTGCTCATGAAGGAATGGAGCTCTAGGCATGGCAAGCAGCTCAGTCACAGCACACAGCTAGCTGTTGTCCCTCCAGCCCCAGAGCCCATGACAGAGAACTGAAAAGCTGACAGAAGCCCACAGTGCTGCTCATCCGTAACCTCCTCGAGCTTCAAGTCAATGGCAAAGCAGCCTTGGCTCTGGCTGCCCCTCACCCCAGCTCTGTTCACCCCTTCCCTTGAATCTGTGAATTCTAGCACCTCTGTATTCTTCCCTGGTCCTGCCCCTCGCCTGGTGGAGAGAGCAGAGCTCGGTCAGAATCCTTCCTCACCTCACCTGTAGCTCCTTGAAGTGCCCCAAATCTTGAACCGTGGAGGAAATGAAAGTCCTAGCTGCTGCTATGATGGTGAGGAGGAAGGGAGCTGCTGGAATAACTACAAATGTGTCCTATTGCTTTCCGGCAGTGTCCGTGTCTAGAACAATACAGTGATCTTATTTTCACGTGCAAGAACTGGAGGAAGGGTGGGTGCAGCTTCTTTGTGCTCATGTGGAAAGAGGGCGGAAGCCTGCATTGCTGCTCTGGTCAAGAGGCTCCTCCTGCGACTCTATTTCCAGTATTTGATTGACTCAGACGGAAACACAGTGATTAATTATTATAACATTACAAATCTTACTTTAGTGGGGGAAAAAGACTTTGAAAGAATATTTAATTTTGCATTTACTTTTTAAATAAAAATCCAACCAATTGACTAATATCTGTCTTATCAGAATAAAGTGAAAAAGTTTCCTTTTCCTGGAGGTACCTCTGACATATTAAGTTCTCTAGGAACAGAGCAGAACAGAACAGAACATGTGTCAAAAGTATAAGACAGATAATGAGGACAATGCCCCTTTTTCATTTCTGCTGTATCCATAAAACTTAGAGAAAGTAGAAAACTTTCTCTCACAAATAATCCCTGGTTTGACTTATGGTTTTTATTTGATGATTTTGTCTTTTTTAAAATTCACACTAATAAAAGGTAATATGCCTGTAGTAGGTATGATCTTTCAGCTTGGCATTCGATCTTCTTGCGAGCTGGCATCACATGGTGTGATTTTCTCTTGCCATGCTGGGCGGCAGCAGCAACCCACAAGTCCCAGCAGCCTTGCATGTGATCAGCGGGTAACCAATGACGCTCTGTGCTCTATGGTCTGCTGCGGTGCTAAGCTGGGATGTTGCATAAGTCAGGTGAATTAAATATAGTTTCAACTTACAATGTTTTTAACTTAACAATAGGTTTACCGGGACAACCTCATGGCCATTTGAGAAGCTTTTGTACATTTAGGACACCTGCGATCTCTAAGCATGCCGCATGCAGTAACTTCACTAAGAAGCACCCACTAAGCACCCTTCCTTCATATACATGTGCAGATGCAAACAAGCTTCCTCAGAAGGGAGAGGCCGCAGGAGACCCAGCAACAACCCTCAGGAGGGATCATGCCATGTCCCACAGCATGGCTTCCATGGAGGCTTAGGCAGAGCATGCTTTTCTGCTTAATTTGTATTAGTCTTGGTTTGCAGCACGTAATGATCTGTGGGCAGCTGGTGCATGCACATAAAATATCTCCGTTCTTCCCCTCCCCCACCCTCCTGCTCCTTCCATCTCTGGGTCCCCTCCCCCTTTGCAAAGCTCTATCTCCATTCCCTCCCTCCCCTTTCCCTCCCTCTCATCTTTCTCCGCCTCTTACTTCCCTTCCCATGTGGAAAAGATCTCCCTACTTCCTGGTACCTACCTATTACTTTTATCCAAACCATTATCTGTGGAGGGCACACATAGGGAAGGTAAGGCCTTCTTTGCAGAGGGTACAAATAAGCAAAATATCAAAATGCTAGCCAATGTGTTTAGGAATGGAAACCCTTACGTAACATGGAGAAGGGAGCAAAAGTTATTGTGACTCTCCTTGTCAGAGCACTGCCTTCCTCTTAGCCTAACTTTTCCCCGTCTCTAACTCTCTTGCTTCTCACAGAAAGCCTTTCCTATCCTGAGAAAGCGAATTAGTTAAGTCACTTAGAACAAACTGGTGACAAACAATGTAGCTCTTGGTCCATTTTCTGTTGCTATCACAGAATACCCGAGACAGAATGAGGCAGCAGGCATCACGTGGTGAGGAAGAGCAGGGTGCTAACCCGAGTTTCTCCCTCTCCACATAGCACCACAAAAGTTAAGTCGAATCCATCTTAACAGTTTTAGAGATTTTCTACTTACTAAGAGAAGCTAGGAGTTTCTGTTGGCATTGTTGATTTATATAATGTTTCATTTTTATGTTTACCTTGATCCATAAAGATGGGAGCAGCAGGCACCTCTTAAACTAAGCATGCTCAATAGAATGGGCACAACCAAATTCTGAGAAAACAATATTAAGACGTATACTGTGCATTTAGTGTCTACAG